ATCAGCAGATGCTCCATTCATGCAGTGTGTGATGGCAGCCTAGCCGGAAAGCAACTAACTGTACTGGGACTGTACTGAACTGTCAGTGATGGATAAACCTGTTGATTTATTGACAGCAGTGATGAATGTGTTTGGGTTATTTAATGTTATACAGTACTGTGTGTTTTTTTAAATATATTGTGTGATAGGTATGTAAGTTACCAATGGCTACATTATATATTTTTTAAACATGAGCCAGAAGGAAAATATGTAATTTAAAGAGAAACCACCATATTTTGTTTTCACTCCATAAAATAACAGATGTAAAATAATATACTGTACATACAAATTTGATAATTGATGAGATTATTTATTGTACTAATCTATTATTCATAGTCAAAATGGTAAATAGTGAAGAACACAGAGTCAGTGCCAGTAGGACCGGACTGCAGTATCAGACTCCCGTCACACAAACAAACAGTAATGTGATACTCCTCTCCTCTGCAGACTGGCACAGGGAAATCCCCCGGGGAAGGAAATCAGAGCCAGGCAACACTGCTGCCACTTACCCCCCCAAAAAACAAAAAGCAAAACACTGCTGCCACATGGGCGAGTCTCCTGATGCCTGTTCTGATGCCCCACCTACCTCAACAGACTGATGCTGTCTATACAGCATCGGTACTGTAGGACGAAGGACACTGTCCATCAACCACTATCTCAATGAAAACGATTTACTTAATATCAGCTATGCACATAAGTGTTCCAGGTCCTTCAGTACATGCAAGGTTGGTGATAATGTTACTCATATTAACTGAAAACATACTGTACTCATATGATTCACAAGATACATTTTCTGTAGTCCACTGCCTGCCGGCACCGTATGTGAACAGTATAAGCTAATGTGAACCAATATGTCTCCAGGGAATGATCTAACACACAGTGCACTAGAAACCAACCTGCTGACAGCATGGTTGCCTTGACAACCAGACAGCCAAGGACACAGGAATCAAGATGAAGAATTAAAGTTTAACTAGAGGTGAAGTATCAGCAGACATGGACAACAAACTTCACGT